AAACCTGGTGATTTCATAGCACAGAATAAGAAACTTTATACAGAAGGGAGTTATGTGTTGTCAAACTGAGGGCATGGTGGTCCTACAGGATGAGCCATGGTGGAAGGAGGCTATCCTGAAGCTCAGATAGTGTTTCCATGAATCAGAGGACAAAGCTTATGGAAAGGTGAGGATTCTGTACTGTGTAGCAGACTGAATTTTCTAGTCTATCCAGAGGGGTGATGGATTTGAGTAAAAGAAGTGCATAGTTCTTTAATATTTTGTCCAGTCTTTTGTACTTCTGCTGCAGGACTAAGAAGTAAAGACATCTGGGAATTCTTATTTATATATGTATGCATTTGCTTGTGTGAACTATCACCTGCAAATCTGGCATACATGTACAGATTTCATGTGCTGTGGGAAGTCAGCAGTGTTGTGCAGGGGAGAGGAGAGGCTCAGCTCTGGGCTGGCTTTGCACAGATGGAGACCACATCACCAAAGGGGACACAAACAAAGCCAGTGTCCCTGAGGCCCAAGGGTCCCAAGGGGGTGCTCAAATCCCACCCCTGCAGCTGGCAGGAACCTGAGCTCCTCTCAGTCCTCACTGGTCTGAACATTTTTGAGGGTCCGAGACAGAATTTAGTGCTGAACCTTCCTAAAGTTTGGTTATTGCATTTAGATCCTCAAATAGGAGCTGAATTCTAGAGATATCCTTGTTTTTTTTCCTAAATGTGTGTGCTTGTGTGTGTGTGCATGTCTGTGTATGTATGTGTGTACATATATCAATTTTCCTTCAAACATTTGTCTGCTCCCGAGCAGCAACTGCAGAGACTTCCACCAGTAGCAGCATTCACCTTGCACTGACCTTCTAATAAGCAAAGATACGAGCTGCTCCTGCGTCCAGACTTAGTGTGAGAAAGAGAGATGTAAAGAAGTGTGAGAGAGATGTACAGAAGTTTAATATGGCCCACTGTATGAATGGGTTTGCTGTCACAAAAAGCCTCTCTTAGGGCTGTAATGTCTGTGCTGACTTAAAGGTCTTAATTTAGGTTATGATTAGCATCAAGAAATGTTAAATGACACAACTTTTTCCCCAAACAACAGATCATTTTCAAAATTATTTTGCTCGTGATATTGCTGCTTTTTCACAAGTGTATACAGTATACACTACAGAGGAAAATGAAGGTTGATGTCTTGGGTTTTAGTATAACTAATGAACTTTGTGTCTAAAGAATATGGTTTAATCCTAAAATCTATGGCACTGAGAGGCTGAACTCACTTTAGCTGTATTGTGAGACTCACAGAAGTTGTGTGTGTAAAAGCTAACAGTCTCTTAGGATGCCTTATTTGGGGATTCGCAGAACCCAAACTTTAAATTTGCACATATAAATGCATAGGTTTTTAAAGCCAGAAGGAACCACCAAGATCTAGTCTGACCTCCTTTATAATGCAGTTGCAGAATTTCACCTCGTAATTCCCTGACTGAGCCAAATAACATGAGTATTCATGCCAGAAGTGTTTGTGCTTTAATTCAGTGAGGGAATAGGTATGATACCAGGCTGTTTATCCTGCAATCTCAGCACAGCCACAGAGCCCAAATAATGCATACCAAGCATCAAATCCTCTCAAACTTGTGGTGATAGTAATAAAAATTGCTAAATGCCTTTGAATAACAAATAAATCTGATTAAACCACTCTCTGCTTATGGCTATCCTGTGAGCAAGAAAGAACATAAATTGTTAGATACATGATTTATAGAATATTATTCACTTTTCTGAGTAATTCTCTCCTTTCTTGGGTCTTTGATATTCTGGTAGCAACGTCCTTTACAAATAATGCAAAATGATGTATATTTTAGCAGCTACTGGCTAGGTTCTCAAGAGGAAACATTCTCTAATAGCCTAGTGCTCCTGAGGGGCTTTTACAAGCAATAAAACCCAAAGTATACAAGCCAGATTTTTGTCAAATTTTGCTTATACAAACATGAATTTTAGCTTTAGAGGTCTTCTTTATCATTTCAAGACAAGTCCAGATGATGTGCAACCAGATTCCTGCATCCTGCAGACATTTGAAGAGTCAGCTGTCTACATGGTAGAGCAAATATTTGGAGTCTGAAGTGTGGCACAGAAACCACATACTAATCTCTTCAGTGGTGGCAGGAGAGGGGAAAGGGCCCTCACACAACAATCTCCTTGTCCATTGAACTCCTTTCTTGCCTGTACTTTTTATGGCCAGAGGCAAAGAAGGCAGAAGAAAGCCCTATATGTACTGAAACAAAGGTCATATAAAGAAACCTTTGATTCCTCCCTCTTACAGCTGAGGATATCAGGGATAAAAATTGATCATAGATCATATTTAATGTGGTAAACTGAAATTTGGGATATAGTTTATTGAAAATGCCATATCCAAACCTCTTCTCACCACTCTTTGCCAAGCTGTACATAAAATTTATAGCAGCTAAAAACCTCCAGCAATGTTATCACTAGTGGCCAGCCCTGAGGGTACTGCTTATTTTCTGCAATGCAACAGATTTTTTTTTTTAACATTTCTTATGTTATTGGTGCTTTGTTTTCACTAGCACAGTGATTCTCAGATGAGAACTTGTGAACCTAACTGAAGTTATGCCATAAATATATGTAATTAGGAGCCTGGTGGAAATAAAATTGTAGGACCAGGCCTCACAATGTGATTGTAAGAGAGATAGGAAGGGAAAAGCATGACTTCCAAGTGTAGCCAGGGTTGCAAAAATCTCCAGATAGCCTTAGGCACTCTCTTCAGTAGCTTTCAGACTCTTCACTGTCATACATGCCACAGTAATTCCCCCAGCACTCTCAGGACTCCATTTGCCTTTTGTAGTTTCCCTTGTGAATGCATTTTTTTTTTTTTTAAATTCAACCATGCTGTCTACTTTATTAACTTTGATTTTTTCTCATCAAAATCCCTGTTTCACCATCTCTTGTCTGGTTTCCATCACTTCTAGTTACTGCCCACACCAGACCCACAAACAACCTCTTCTGTGTTCATTTCATAACTCCATCCTTCCCCTTTATTAAGAATTACCACTCCCTTTTCCTTGTAATCTTCATTGGCTTCTGAATCTCTGTGCTTTCTTGTTCTTCTCTCTTCATCTGCTAATTCAACAGTTGTTCTACCAATTTTCCACGTACTAGAGGTCTTAACCTGATCAAGTAGTCTACAGTGCTTGAAAGTTTCCAAACTTCTGATGCATTTGCAGTGCCACAACACTACCACCATTCCTACAAATGATGCTTTTCCCACCTCTTTTCTCAGACTCTTTTTTAACTGTCCCTTACTGGTGAGAGTAAACATTTGCTGTTTGAAACAGGGAATAGTGATTGGTTAGTTGTGGTTTTTTTTTTTTTTTTTTTTTTTTTTTGTCTAGGAAAGTCTCATGCCCATTTGAGTTACAGTGCAATTAAGTAATAAAAATTGTAGTAATTAATACAATATTGCAATAATAATATTAAAGATGAGGGCTGCAAGATTTTTTTTATCCTGGAAAAACTTTGTGGTAGATTCCTTTTTTCTTCACAGACTTTAATGCTGTCTAGATATGTGGCAACAAGGAAAGGATTCACTGAAAATTCTTAGCAGATGTGCTTGGAGAAAACCCAGCTTCTGAGACTGTGCATTACAGTCCACATCCCCATCAATAGCAAATGCAATATTGTTTGCAAAGCTGACATTTAATTTACTGGCTAATGACATTCAAAATCACAGAGAGTGCAATATTTCCATTCTCAAACTTAAATTTGTTTAGTTTTTTGAGTCCATATGAGTCTGAATTTGGAAAACCCAACTGTATCTAAAATCAGTGCAGGAGATCCACTGAAAACAGTTTGGGTTTTCTCTTATCTCTTTATGAATAAATGAAAACATTATAGCAGAAGTTTCTCTTTATCCTTCATGCAAACACAACAGTTGTGATGATTACACTTAGCAGAGGGCGGATTTTCTGAGTCTGTTAGTATTTCCATTTGCTGGTTCAGTCATATATTTTTCTGCCAAAATGGCAGGCTTTGCTAAGCCTACAGACTAATTTAACTTCAGTAGGTCATCCGGTTAAAGCTAAGAGCAGAATTTCTACATCTGCATTAAACAAAAGCTTTATGCTTTTTTTAAAGATTATGTTTATATTGGCCTTTAATATTTGGACCAAATTCTTGGCTGATGTAATTTAACTGAGTTCTTTGGCATGATATTCCAGCAGAGAATTTGATCATAATATTTACATTTTTATAGCTATAATGTAATGTATTTTACATGTAAGCTGCATCTATAGCTAATGCACATAATATATATATATTATGAGCATAAGTATATGTATGTATAGATATATACTAATAGTGTAATAGGTACACATCCAAATACACTTTGTTTTCTGTTTGTGATAGCTGTCATTTGCTATTAGTTAATTCCCTAAATTGAGAATGGTGAATGTATTTACATTTTAGGTGCCACCATGGAATGATTATGAAATATTTGTTATACAGCAATTATTTTACATAAATATATGTTGCATTTACAGGACAGAGCAGAAAGCCACAGGGGGGGCTGTGACATGGAAGTTCTGCAATGACATTCAAATAGTAGAAATATTCCTAGCAGCCTTTAAGACGCTTTATCCAATAGGGTGCAGATGAGTTAAGTTTATCTGCATGATGGTTGCTTTGCAAGTTTTGGGGTAAATGATCCAATAAGAGCAGAGTGGATGTATTTTATTTGCACACTGAAATTCTATTGGCAAAAGTGCTGCAAAGACAGTTTATATTTTTGTCACACTGTAAAAAGCAACTAACGACCCGTGGAGAATTTGGGAAAGTGCCCTATTTACATTCCATCCTATTTATATGGTCTGTTTTTGCATACAAAGGAGGTCTTTGTTTCCACAGGGTTAGTCAGCACCTGCTAGTTATTCCCCACCAGTAGCTATAGTCCTCTGTGGCATCAAACTTCATTTCTACATGCGAAGAGTTTTGTAATATATATATATCAGGTACCTGGCGATTTTGTCTGTACAGGACATGGTGATGAGCTGCTCTCCCAGCAACACGCCGTCCCACGTTTGAGCTGCGTTGTGACACCGGACAGGAATGGTTCCTTCTCCAGACTCAATCTTTGTTCGGAGGTGCCCACGGTATTTTCTCACTATGTGCTTGCTGCTGTTCACTGGGCAAAATAAACACAAAAATGGCAACAATTAAATGTTTTTAGAAAGAACCTGAGAGGCTGTGTTGATGTCATAGCTTGCATTTGCAGAACCACCTGTGGAGTTCCCTTCAATTGGATGAAAATTTAGATGAGATTACAGTCCAAGAAAGCAGCACAGTGGAGAAAAGTATGTGCTCCCTAGCATGGTTGTCTTTTCACATCAATCAAAACTTTCACATAGCACATGCTGCGCTCATGTTCCCATTCCCATTCCCTTATACATTTAAAAAGAACAGAGGCGCTCTGTTTTTTAAAGAAGCAGTACAATTTCTTGGTTTGAAACCATGCTTATAGGATTGATCTGTCAGAGGAATATTTGGAAAACCTTGGTTAAATGAGTGTCATCAAAGACTCACCTGTGTGACACAGTCCAGTCCAATACTCTAGTGTGATATTCAGTGTCATTTTCTGAATGATTTCAGAACTGAGCTTTTGGTTCGATATCACAAAATTTCACTGAAAATTCTCAAAAGCTGAAGTTTTATTCTCTAGATGAAAAGCAAATCAAAACTTGCTAGTTATTTACTGCTTGCTTAAATTCCTTCTATAGTCTCTCTAAAGTGCAGTACCCTCCTTCATTGTGTCATACTGATATCTTTTATGCAATTGTCATCTGTCACTTCAGTGATATATTTGAGTGCAAGGCATCTGCCTTTGGGGTGGTGCAGGGCAAGCAGCTAAGGCACTTGTCCTGTGTCTTGATGAACTTGATGGAGTCCTGCAGATATGCAATAATTGCAGAAGATAATGAAATTTCTGAAGTACTTCACCTTCATTTTTATGAAAAGACAAAAACTGAAATTCATTATGAAAATCACTCTTACCCTCTTTGTACTGCTACTTTACCCGTGGGTATTTTGGTTGTAAAAGAACAGCAAGGAACAGCAAGGAAATCCTCTGGGTCTGCTCACTGTCTTACCCCTAGAGGGTTTCACTGGAGGACACCTTTTCTGTAAAACAGATCTTTCACAGTTTCCCTGTAGCCCAAAGGAAAATAACAAAAGACAGTGCGTGATGGCTTTTGTTTTCAAGGAAAAGGAGTGCTGCTTCTACAGACATGAGGCTTTTGACCATATTTCCAACTGTTTTGTGTATTTTTCCATGGCCTGTCCCTCAGCTGGACCAGAAGGCTTTTGCTGGTTGAGGTGATGCTCCTCAGCCCTCAGCGGGTGATGGGGCTGCCTGCGTCCCTGGCACTGAGTAACACTGGGGTGTCACTGGTTGCGGGGCTGATCGAACCTCTGGCTGCGAGCAGCTGGCTCTGTGCACGCTCCCCAGCTGCCCCCTCTCTCACTCTGTCATTTTTTACTGTTTTTGCTTTGTATGACTGTTCTCTTCGCTGAGAGTGCTGGTGGAAGCAATTGATTGACTTTGGCTGCTGCCAATGGATGGTTTACAAAAAGGGAATGGGAAAATAAATTGCTTCATCCCACTGGGATTAGCAGAGGTAGCGAACACGTGTAGAACATCAGAGTCAGCTGTAACGTGCCAGCGGATGGGCGGCTCAGCACCCCCAATCATTCCTTTGCTTCCTTCATGCTTTTTTAAAAATTAAGATGGGGGATGTGTGTGCCAGCAGCAGGCTGGACCAGGTATCAGTTGGATTGACTGGCCACGGTTGAAACCAATTCCCAACCCAAACCAGGCTCCATTGTACCTGAAATGTTTGCAAATACTGTGGGGTTTGTTTGTGCTGCTTTAGGAACTGAGTTTGGGGGTGAGCAGTTATTGCGCCGCCATCCCCATCAGCAGCTATGTCCCAGTGGGGGATGTGGGGGGTCCTTACACCCAGTTGCCACAGAGCACCTCACAAACTGAGGCACTGCAGTAACTACCAGACTTGGAATATTGTGACTTCTCAAAATTCAGTTCTGAGGGAAACTGGGAAGAGCCAATAGACAAATAAAAAATTCAATAAGCAAAAATGCCGAAGTCTCAGAAATGTCTCAGATCCCTCTTCTGTCAAATTACCGGGCTGTGTCAACACTGTAGGAAAACCATTTTCACAGCTATGTGTGCTGAGCCCACGTACATCCCTCTTGTCTGGGATGCATGCTGCAGTATCATTCAGAGGATGCACTTTGGATGGGATTAGCTCTCTGGGAAGTGGTCCATAGTTTTCTTGGGACTCTGTGGGGAAACTCTTTTTTTAAAAACTTCAGGCAGTGGTGATCAGCATTTTTTATTGTTAAACAACAGAGTCATGGGGAAGGTACCATGAAATTTGGACAACAGAAGGAGAAAGTGATCACTTCTGCTTAGCAAACACATCTCACTGAACAACAGCAAAAAACGTATAGAAAAAACACTTTGCCTTAGTCTGCACACACTGAGAACTGATGGCACGGCAGAACCAGACCTCTGCCAGGGAAGCAGTGAAGAGTGACTTAAGAGGCTATTGCTGTTTCGGCTGGTAGGAAGTTTGACTTTAAGCAAATCAGTTCTCTTTTCCTAAGCTTTCCCGCAGGTATAATGAAGACAATGATGCTTCCTTCTTCTGCAAATTCATTTAAGGGTACTGCTTGAAAACAATTTATGAAAAACAGATGCTTTCCTTTCAATAAAGATCTACTATTGGAGTCCACCTGCTGGAAATCCCCCAGGACAAAATGAATTTTTAATGTTTCTTTCTCCATTTTTTTTTTTTTTGGGAGAATATTTTCTCTTGCTACACCTTTGTCTCCCCATTTCCCATCTCCCTTACATTCCTCTTCATCAGCTCCTGCTCTGACCTTCCCCTGTAGGTGCATTGGTCTTCTACTCTCTTTTTCAGGCAGTTCACCATGTTGATACACCTACATTGTGCATACATGCAAAGGGACATGTAACTGCTAGGGAATTTTAGTGACTGCATGACAAGATGAGCAATCCATTATTTATGTGACTGATTTTGAGGGGCAAAGTAGCCCACAATGTGTTGACAGAGATAAGGAGCCAGTTCAGGGGAAGAAAAAGCAGCAGCCCTGCAAACAACTCTTGAGCACTTGGGGAATTTAAAGTATAGGCCAACCATTTGGGGGGAGAGGGATTCAAAACATTTCTGTGAGTTTGCAGGGTCTGTGTATTTGATTTTTTACTTGTCTATTTGATCTTCTCAATTTCCCTCAGGTCTGAAGGGAGTACAAAGGCCAAAGTACACCATGTCTGGCTGTTATTATAGCATCTCAGTCCTGGCCTGCAAGTGGCAGAAACTGAATAATAAAGTTTTTAAAAGCATTTAGGAAGTGTGTGCAAGTGCACAGATCATCTCAGTTTCCAAATGCTCATATTAACTCAGCCCACGTGTCAAACTTTGTTCCCCATAATGCGCTCTCTACTCAGGGTGCAGCCAAGCAGACGGCATTAGCTGATAGGATTCAGGCAGCTGTGGCCAGTGTACGCTAACCCTGGAATACACTTCCACAGCACTGATAAGGGGTTTTAGCTGCTCAACTGCTATTAAATTCAATGGATAGGGTGTGACTAAAACCCTGTGCTGTAGTGCCTGTCTCAGGCTGCTCACGTTACTGGGATAGCCAGCACACATGCTCCAAAAGATGATCTGTAACATTTATATAAATTACTAATAATCCAAAGATCTGAATACTTTTAGATTGACAATGATTAAATAAATCCAGATCCGCAATTGGAATGCACTTTGTTCTTTTTTAGCATGTCATTAAGTAGTGCAGGAAGATATAAATATTGAACAAAGAACAAGATGAGGCTCCATGTGTTTTGCACTGAAGCTGCAGACAGACTCTGGCACATAAGCTGCTTGCCAGCAGTAAAAAATGCAGTCCACTTGCTGGCACAACCTGCTATGGATCATTTTAAAGCAGTCTCAGAAATATATTTATTCATGCAACTTAAAGTCACAAACTACAGCCTACTGCTGTTCTGCTGTTTAGTATGATCAAAGCATTAGTGACTATAAGCATTTGTGATCTTTGCTGTGCTGGTTCTCCAACTGCTTAATCTCAACTAATTGCAGGGGAGAAAGCGTCTGAGGATGCCACTTCAACCAGAACAAAATGTCAATTCAAACCGGAATTAGAAAGGACAAATTTAAAAATCATTTGGAGTGGATTTATGATGTGTGCTACACTCAGATGTGGAAATTACTCATGAGAGTTCCTAAAATAAAAAGTTGCTGGATTATTAATTATTGGATTAGAAATTTACATAGGTGCCTTGTATTTAAAATCAGTGAAACCCACTGATTTCAAGGCTCACCTCTTACTTTTATATTTTCTCCAGGACCAGTTCTGGCTCAAATAGTAATGAAAAAAGCCACTCCATATTTATTATTTAGTTGAAGAGTGAAGAGGAAATGGACGGTGATTAAACAGAATCACACGAGTAAGGTTCTGTCTGAAATTTTGCATGACTGCCTCAGAGGTTCATTTTCTATTTCCCTGCTTCAGTGGAGTCTGTTCTCTCCTCATGAAGGAAGAAATAAAACAGCCTATCTTGCATTTTTTTTTTCAATGCTGGGCCCTCCATTCATCAGCGTGGTTTATAAAGCTTCCTTAGGGCAGTTTGAAACAAAAGGTTGGAAAGAGAAGTGTTAACATCTGACTGCCTTTGTATTTAGATGGTTATTAGAGATGCACTTTTCTCACGCAGATGTGGAATAAATGTACAATATTACTACTTCTGGAAATGTTGAAGTGAGCATCATGGAACACTGAATGCTTCAGATGTGACCCCCTTGCTGGGTAGGGTGGCTGGTCAGATAGATCTCTGATACATCGTGCTTTAGTGACTAGCAGAGAGTGAAGCTAAAATGCAACAGGCCAGCTTTTGAGAGCAAGAAACTTGAGGGATATTCTGAAAGAAGACTGTATTTAGGAAAAAAGAATAGGTCCCTTCACAACGTACAAAGCTGAATTGTGGCTTCTGAGGGTAGGATTCATCACACCAAGGGCTAGGCAGGCAAAAGCAATGGTCTTGTCTGATGGTCTACAGAGCTGCCT